TGCCAAAAAGACCCGCTTCTCTCTCACCCCATCCAGAATACTGAGGTGTGCTGCATGGCTGGGGGACAGGAAGTGGCTGAGAGAACAGCAGCCAGGGCTCTCAGATGGCATCAAAGGAGCACAGATCCTACTAACTGCTTCGCAGACTCTTAGGAAGCCTGCCAGTGAGCTACTGGGGACTCCTCACCTGCAGACCCGTCACCTGGCTCACAGGCACCCCAACATTCCGTACACCTCACCCACATACACCTCCAACCTGTGGCCATCTCCCTTGGAACACCACTGATGGTGGCAAGAGTGAGCCTTTGAGGAAAGCTAGTGAGCATGCACCGAAAGCCAGTCTGACTCTGTGGGATTGAGAGAAAAGACACAAACCTGAGCATTCAGCACTGCCCTAGGGGAAGCAAGCAAAGAGGAAGCTGTTGGCACTCAGCCCAGCTTTGCTGGATCGAGAGAAGATATAAAATCTTAAGAATTCCTCCCCAAGAGGGAACAAGAAGTGCGGAGCAGGTGTACCCATAGAAAAGGTCTGAGAAAGCCTCAGAATCCCTAGCAGTCCTGACAGAAGGTATTTCTTTCCAAAAGCCAGGAGGAGGTGACTGCTTCCTCAAATGCAAAGACAGCAATGTGAGATTTCAAGGAACGTGAAAAATCAAGAAAACTTGACATCACCAAAGGAACACAATAGTTTTCCAGTAACCGATCCCAAAGAAATGGAGATTTGAGGTTTGCCTTAAAATAACTAAAAACAGTCATTTGAAGGAAGCTCAGTGAATTACGAGAAAACACAGAAAGACAGTTCAACAAAATAAGGAAAACAATACAAGAAGAAAACGATACGTTTAACAGAGAGAAGTCATAAAAATATCTGAACAGAAATTCTAGAGCTGGAGAATACAATGAATGAAATGAAAAATGCAGTAGAGAGCATCAACAACAGACTGGATCAAGCAGAAGAAAGAGTCTGTGTAGTAGAAGACAGATCATTTGAAATATTATGCAGTCAGAGAAAAACAAAGGAAAAAGAATGAGAAAGAGTGAAGAAAGCATATGTGAACTATGGGATACCATTAAGAGAAATAATCTACACATTATTGGAATCCCAAAAGGAGAAGAGAGGGACAAAGGGGCAGAAAGCTTATTTAAAGAAATAATGGGTGAGAACTTCCCAAATCTGGGGAGAGATTTGGCTATCCAAGATCATGAAGCTCATAGGTCCCCTAAAGATTTCAACCCAAAACTATCTTCTCTGAGACACATTATAATAAAACTATCTAAAATCAAAGAAAAAGAGAAAATTTTAAAAGCAACAAGAGAAAAAAAATTCTTGACATACAAGGGAACCCCCATAAGGCTCACAGTGGATTTCTCAGCAGAAGCCTTGCAGGCCAGGAGTGGGATGACATATTCAAAGTGATGAAAGAAAAAAACTGCCAACCAAGAATACTTTGCCCAGCAAAGTTGTCCTTCAGAAATGAAGGAGAGAGAAACATTTTCCCAAACAAATAAAAGCTGAGGAAGTTCATCACTGCTAGAGCTGTCTTACAAGAAATACTGAAAGTTCTTCAACGTGAAATGAAAGGATGCTGATTAGTAACATGAAAACATATGGAAATATACAACACACTAGTAAAGATAAGTATATAGTCAAATTGAGAATACTCAAATACTGTAATGTGGTGGTATGTTAATCACTTAACTCTAGTTTAAAGGTTAAAGGACAAAAGTATTAAAAACTATAACTACAAGTATTTGTTAATGGCTACATAATATAAAAAGAGGTAAACTGTGACGTCAGAAACATAAAATGTCAGAGGGGGAGTAAAAGGTAGAGTTTTTGTATACAATCGAAGTTATCAGCTTAAAATAGACTCTTACATCTATAAGGTGTTTTATGTGAGGCTTGTGGTAACCACAAAGCAAAAACCTGCAGTAGGTAGACCGAAGATAAAAAGGAGGGAATCAAAGCATACCACTGTGGAAAAATCATCAGTTCACAAAAGGAGACAGCAAGAGAGGAAGAAAGTAACAAGGGCACTACAAAACAGCCAGAAAACAACTAATAAGATGGTATTAGTATATCCTTACCTATCAATACTTACTTCAAATGTGTCGTTAGGCAATTTCATCATTGTGAGGACATCGTACACAAACCTAGATGGTATAGCCTACTACACACCTAGGCTATATGGAACTAATCTTATAGAACCACCATCGTATACGTAGTCCATTGTTGCTGGAAACATCATTATACAGCGCGTGACTGTGATGTTATATGTCAATTATACCTCAAAAAAAAAAAACTTATTGCTAAAAGAAAAATGAAGGTGATTGGGTATGTAAAGATTTCTTAGCTAGGATACAAAAAGCACAAACCATAAAGGAGAAAATTAATATATTGGACTTCAAAATAAAACTTAAAACTTTGACTCTTTGAAAGATATTTTTAAGAAAATGAAAAGTCAAGCTAGAGACTGAGAGGAAATATTTATAGAACATATTTACAATAAAAGACTTACATCCACAATTTATATATTTTTAAAAACTCTTTTTTCTTTTCTTTTCTTTTTTTGTGAGGAAGATCAGCCCTGTGCTAACATCTGCCAATCCTCCTCTTTTTTTGCTAAGGAAGACTGGCCCTGAGCTAACATCCATGCCCATCTTCCTCCACTTTATATGGGATGCCACCACAGCATGGCTTGCCAAGCAGTGCGTCTGTGTGCACCCGGGATCCGAACCGGCCAACCCCAGGCTGCCACAGTGGAGCGCGCGCACTTAACCGCTTGCGCCACTAGGCTGGCCCCTAAAAACTCTTATAACTTATTAACAAGAAGAAGGTTTGTTCAGATGTTTCACCAAAGAAAATATACAAATTGCATATAATCACATGAACAGATAGATGTTCACTGTCATTGATCATTAGGAAAATGCTACTTAAAATAAGACACCACTACACACTCACCAGAATGGCTAAGATTACAAAGACTGACACTGGCAGGAGTTGGAGAGGCTGTGGAGCAACCGGGACTCATACATCTCTTGAGGGAATGCACAGTGGTACGGCCACGCTGGAAAACAGTTTGGCAGTTTCTTAACAAATTAAACCTTGTGAACCAGCCTTTTTGTTCCTGGGTATAGATCTTTACCTCCCCAGAGAAATGAAAACGTACGTCCACACACACTTTGTACCTGAAGGTTCATAGCAGTTTTATTCATAACAGACAAACCTAGAAAGGATCCACATTGCAATAGGGGAATGGACAAACAACATGTGATATGGTACACTGCTCAGCACTGCAGAGGAATTATGCAACAACGTGGGTGAGTCTCAAAAACATCATAAGTGCAAGAAGCTAGACATAAAAAGATACATAGTGTATGATTCCACTTATTTGAAATTCTAGAAAAAGCAAATCTGTGGTGACAGCTGATACTGGTTGTCTGGGACCAAGGGTGGGGTGAAGGCCTTGACTGCAAGCCCTAGGGGGTTTTGTGGGGGTGTTGGAACTGCCTTATATGTTGAGTTGTGGAGATTACACAGCTGTATACATTTCCCCAAACCTATCAAACTTTACAATTAAAATGAGATAATTTTACTGTGTGTAAATTATGCCTCATAAAACTGTTAAAAATTTTAAATATTTGTAGAGAGGGCATTAAAAATATGAAAGGCTTATTTGCCCTGCAGTCTAAGACTTGTAATTGTGAAGCCATATCCCAGGGCACTTACCTCAGGTTGTGACTGTATTTTGAGATGAGATCTTTAAATAAGTAATTAGGTTAAAATGAGGTCCCTAGGATGAGCCCTAATCCAGTATGACCTTACGAGAAGAGGAAATTGGACGCAGACATGTACAGAGGGAAGATGATGTGAAGACACAAGGAGAAGACGGCCATCAAGAAGCCACGGAGAGAGGCCTGGAGCACGTCCTTCCCTCACGGCCCCAGCAGGAACCAACCCTGCTGACACCTTGACCTTCCAGCCTCCAGGACTGTGAGACAACACTGAGCCGCTCAGTCAGTCCGTCCTACTTTGGGACGGCAGCCCTAGGAAACTAATTCAAGTAGTAAGGCTAAAACAGCTTCAACCCTGACTGAGAAAGTGAGCCATCTATGGCAGTATATGGTTATGAACCAAATGGAGGATGGAGGTGATAAAAGCTGTAGGTGCTCAGGAGAGGGCCTATGGTTCCTGTGAAGCCCCAGGTAACTCTTCATGAGGCAGATGGAGTTAGAACCTGAAACAAATGTGTGAGGTAGGTGGACAAGAGCACCTGAGGATATTCGGGACAGAAGGTGGCACAGTATTCCTTTAGCAATTATTTACTCACCTGCCATGAGCCAGGCACTGTGCTCGGGTCCAGGAGTCTAATGAATAAAGAGGGCGGCTCCCTGCTGCCCAGGTGCACACGGCCTGAGACGATGGGAGTAGAAATGAAGAGGATTGTTCGGGGCACCAGCATGCACGTGAGCAGTGTTGGCACAGAAGACCAGGTGGGAGAGCTGTCTAGTCAAGTTCAGTCTCCCTTGAGCGCTTGTTGTATTTGTAACGTGATAAAGCATTTGATTTTGCTCTAAGATTATTTCATAAAACTGAGTTGTTGGGGCCGGCCTGGTGGCGCAAGCGGGTAAGTGAGCGCTCTCCACTGTGGCAGCCCGGGGTTCGCTGGTTCGGATCCCAGGCATACACCGATGCACCGCATGGTAAGCCATGCTGTGGCGGCATCCCATAAAAAGTGGAGGAAGGTGGGCATGGATGTTAGCCCAGGGCTAATCTTCCTCAGCAAAAAGAGGAGGATTGGCAGATGTTAGCTCAGGGCTGATCTTCTTCACAAAAAAAAACAAACTGAATTGTCATCATTAGACATTTTCAGTTAGCTGGATTTCCTTCTGCATGTCAAAGATTGCACAGGCAGCTAGATTCCAGGCGTCTTGAAGACAGCAGTATTGCCTCTCCTTTCTTATTTCTCCCATCTTAACGGGTGCTGTGTAACACAAAGCCGGAGTCGGTGACCCTGCACTTTGTGTTCCTGGGCCCCTCCCACCATCAGCTGCACCTGTGGGACAACCAGCACTTTGTGAGCAAGGTGCATCCCTGTGGGTCTGCCTCTTCTGGCACTCTGTCTGATGGTGACTTCTCTCGTTGCTTGTACAGGTGGTGACAACGCCAGAATATTTGAGGAAGAGGTTTGGTGGCTACCGGATCCCGTTCCTCCTCGCTATTATGTACTTATTCCTCTATATCTTCAGTAAGATCTCGGTGAGTTGTGTAAAAGCCAGCCCAGGAAAGAA